GTGGCCTTGGTGTTATCAGCACCGCACTCTACCGAGTGAGCCACGGGCCGGCCCATAACTTTCAACAATGGAAAGTTCAGGGGCTGATGAAAATCTGTGCAGAAATGCTCTGGCATAGTGACCACAGTGTGACAGATGGTGCTGGAAGTGGGAGAGTGGGCAGCAGAGTCAGAGGCTGGCCTTTCCTTCCACGCTGCCCTCCCAGGGCACCCTTGTGTGGTTCTGGGCCCCTGGGCCTGCCACTGCCTGTCTAGAGGGCACCCCCCCACACACACACCCAAGCCCTGTGTGGCTGTCCTGACAGTGGCAGACCTGGCCATTAGACATGACAAGTATAGACCCTTGTGAGCCTCACCCTTACACTCACGTGGGTTTTCTGAAGGGACAGGACACCCACCTATGTGCACCGGTGAACTAAGGACTAAGGTGCCAGGAAGATTTGTAGGCAGGTTGCCCATAATAACTTCAGGCCTGAGCCCCTGGTGTCTGGGTCAGGAGGGGCAGAGGTGGGATGGAGGACAGGCAGAGCTAGGATACCACTGCCCTGGGGACGGGTCTCTCAGGAGCTGGCTGTGAGCCTGAGACTCTCCCTGTTTTGCAGGGAGCCTCTGACCCCCACCCACNGGAGCTGGCTGTGAGCCTGAGACTCTCCCTGTTTTGCAGGGAGCCTCTGACCCCCACCCACAGCTCTGTTTGACTCGTTTTCACTTGCAAGGAAAGCCCCCAGACCTCAGCACACTCAAGGGAATTACAAGTTGTCTGAGATTCACAGTTTCATCAGTCCCTCCCCAGCCACAGTCCATATGCAACTCCACACTCTGGGGTACGGGAAACTCTCTTTCTGGATCGAAAGTCCACATACTTTTTAGTTTGGTGCTGGGCCTGTCATTCTGGGTAGAATGTGGGAGAATGCACCTCCACCTTGAGGAGGCCATGAGGGCATCACAACTGACATGCTGTGGACATGACTTGCTTACAGTGTCTACCATGAGTATCTCCCTCTGTGACTAGAATTGAGACCCAATGTTTGTTGTCTGCTTTGGTCACTGAATTATGCCAAGTGTCTAGAAAAGTGACATTACAAAGCAAGGGCTTATAAATGTGTTGAATAAGTAAGCCCCAACCAGAACATTCCCAGATATCTGAGTGGACCTGGGGTCCCCTCCTCTGGTGC